GTGGGTTGAACTGCAAACCTTTATGGATGAAAATCACCCTGACACAGCTACTGCAAGCCGTGTTGGCAACCTGTACAATGACAATGTTATGACCCATTTTAGAAAAGTCTTAAAGGAACGGGAGGTACAGAGTTCTATGGACAGATTTGTTGTGCGACAGAGGTCCAGTGACTCTCAAGCTGGTCCTAGTGGCATTAAAAGAAGGGAAGTAACCCCGGAAAAGGACTTGCTACCTCAAGTCCTAATGTAAGGGGATTCCCCTTCTAAACAATAACAATTTCCACACTCTCCCCTCCTCCCATCCCATCAATCATCACCAGATCTTCAATAAAGGTAAGTGTCATGTATTCTATTCTTAGTAGAGTAGTAATTGTGCATGTCTTCTTCAGTTTGTGTGTATTAAAATTAATATTTAATGTGATAAAAAAAAATCTTTTTTTATACTTTGGGGTGTCTTGCACGAATTAATTTGATTTCCATTATTTCTTATGGGGAAAATTAATTCGCCTTATGATAATTTCAGCTTATGATGAGCTCTCGGGAACAGATTAATATCGTAAGTCAGGGGTCCACTGTATTGTATAAAACGTTAATACAGACGTTTTGCTTAATCTATCTGACATTTTTTCAAAATTATAAACATGCTATGTAACATATAAACATGATAAATATACCCACAATAGAATAAATTAACATTAATACGAGATGTTTTTCCAGGCGGCCTGCAGGAGTGAACTAAAACCACACGTGTTCGGCTAGTTTGTTTATAAAACTCTTGAGCCTACTACTCTCTCATGTACCCATTTTCTCTCTCTTGTTTATTCGTTTAATCTCGTTTACTCACCTCTCACCCTACATTAAGACTACAAATATTTTAAGGTAAGTAATGAGTGTACTGTACATGCATTTTATCATTCTAGGGTGCTGTAAATACCTAGTATATAATGTGTGGGTGGGGTGGCTAGATGGGCTACGATACCAACCACTCTTCAATACCTACCTACCCTACTAATCACTCTGCACCCTATATTAAGACCATTAAGTGTACACTAAATGCATTTTATTGCTCTAGCGTTCTTTAAGCGTCGAAGTATATTACATATGGGTGGGGTGGGGTGGAGTGACCTGGTTGGCTGCCATACCTACCACACCTAACTTCTTACAATAAATACTACTCACTTCTCACCCTACATTAAGACTACAAATATTTTGAGGTAAGTAATGAGTGTACAGTGTGTGTATTTTACTTTTCACTGTTTTTTAATGCCTTGTTTTACTGCTAACTTAATATATGTTAGTGTAAACTTATTATCTCACATTTATGGGGAAAAAATTTGGAGCACTGCCAGCTGGATAGAGGAATGCGTTCCCTCTGGGTCAGGCCATTGTCTCTGTGGGGGAGGCCTACCTTCCTCCCCTGCCACCCCTGTTCCAGTGCTCCATGTACAGTAAGGCCCCGCCTCACGGCATTTCACCTTACGGCGTTCCGCTAATACGGCGATGTCAAATTATGACCAAAATTTACTATACGGCAAGCAGTCTTTCAAATACGGTGCCCCCCACCCGGTTTCTTTACATTTTCCGTGACCTCATCTATTATGTCAGGAAACTTTCCAAAATTTCAAGTGTTTTAAAGTTACTGCATATTTTACATGTACTCTGATAATTATACTTAAGTGTACCTGTACTTAAATATACTTACACACTGTGCTGGTGTGCAGGTACACATTAAAATCGCTAAGTCTCTCTCTACTCATTACGCCATTACTATGTAATAATAACCACTCTTTGGCACACTAAATGTCTTATTTTACATCAATATAGGCATTTTCATTAATCCATCTATGATATTTTCCTCAAAATTATATATGAAACCCATTACATAGCATATAAACATGATACATACACTCACAGAATAAAAATTGATGTAAATATGAGATTTATTTACCAAGCAGCTGTGTAGGTAGTGTCGGAAGAATTACGTTTTCTCTAGTCAAACTGGGGGATAACTGTAGAAAAATATTCTTTTCGTATGCCTTTACTCTATATACAGCAATTCACGACCCTTGTGGGTTTAGCGCTTTTTATAATAATAATAATAATAATAATAATAATAATAATAATAATATTATTATTAATAATAATAATAATAATATTATTAGGGAATGTATGAAAGTATAGTAGTACCAACACTCTTATATGGGTGTGAAGCTTGAGTGGTAAATGCAGCAGCGAGGAGACAGTTGGAGGCAGTGGAGATGTCCTGTCTAAGGGCAATGTGTGGTGTAAATATTATGCAGAAAATTCAGAGTGTGGAAATTAGGAAAAGGTGTGGAGTTAATAAAAGTATTAGTCAGAGGGCAGAAGAGGGGTTGTTGAGGTAGTTTGGTCATTTAGAGAGAATGGATCAAAGTAGAATGACATGGAAAGCATATAAATCTATAGGGGAAGGAAGGCGAGGTAGGGGTCGTCCTCGAAAGGATTGGAGAGAGGGGGTAAAGGAGGTTTTGTGGGCAAGGGGCTTGGACTTCCAGCAAGCGTGCGTGAGCGTGTTAGATAGGAGTGAATGGAGACAAATGGTACTTGGGACCTGACGATCTGTTGGAGTGTGAGCAGGGTAATATTTAGTGAAGGGATTCAGGGAAACCGGTTATTTTCATATAGTCGAACTTGAGTCCTGGAAATGGGAAGTACAATGCCTGCACTTTAAAGGAGGAGTTTGGGATATTGGCAGTTTGGAGGGATATGTTGTGTATCTTTATACGTATATGCTTCTAAACTGTTGTATTTTGAGCACCTCTGCAAAAACAGTGATTATGTGTGAGTGTGGTGAAAGTGTTGAATGATGATGAAGGCATTTTCTTTTTGGGGATTTTCTTTCTTTTTTGGGTCACCCTGCCTCAGTGGGAGACGACCGACTTGTTGAGGAGAAAAAAAAAAAAAAAAAAAAAAAAAGAATGAGGCAAGCATATGGGCTTGTGTAATAAATAACCCAGGTTGCCATTTCATGAAAATGACACAGATCAAGACAGTTAAATAAAACCAAAAACTTATTGCTAGAGTGGATTGAACAACAAAGAAAGGTGCACCATTTACTTTCATCTTAACTGGGAAAAGCCTTAAAGGTGTATAAAGCAATGTGTGATAAGGAAGGCCTGAACAAGAGTGTATGTTTAGCACTGGCTGGTTCCATAGCTAAGTTGTATAACAGGTTACATAACATTAAGTTTTCTGGTGAAAGTGCTTCAGCTGATCATTCAGCAGCAAGTAATTTCCCTGCTGAATTGCAGGAATTTATTTCTGAGGGTGGCTATGAGCCAAAGTAAGTATTTAATGCTGATGAGATAAGAGCATTTTGGAAGAAATTGCCAACAAAAACTTGTATCAGTCGGCAAGAAAAAAATACACTGGGCTTCAAGGCAATAAAGGATCACTTCACCTTGCTCCTTTGCGGTAATGTTTCAGGTGATTTCAAGTGTAAGCCCATGGTTATTTGCTGCTCCAAGAATCCTCGTGCCCTGGAAGGTTTACATAAAAACACCTTACCAGTAATCTGGAGGTCAAACTGGTCACCAAGGATGACAGAGAAAATATTTATTGACTGGTTTAAGCATCACTTTATTCCCAAAGTCAAGTTTTACCTGCACAGCAAAAACCTTGCATTCAAGGCTCTCTTCACTCTTGATAATTCCCGTACTCATCCAGAAGACTTGCCGAATGTGACCCCACATGTAAATATTGTATTATCTCCAAATACATCATCTTTAATACAATCACTGGATCATGGAGTTATTAAATTATTTAAGTTTAACTACACAAGAGAAGTGATGCAAAAACTAGTTATAATAATGGACTCTGACTCCAAACCAGCAGTTCCAAACTTCTGGAATAAATTTGACATTGCAGATCCCATCAGCTAAGCTAGAAAGAAGTGCCTCAATTAACATTAAATGCAGGCTGGGGAAAATTATTTCCTTCTGTAGTTAATTCTTTCACCAGTTTTTCCCTCGCTTGAGAGTCAGGTGCAGGAAATAGTTCAGTTGGCAAAGACATTACCAGGTGATGGCTTTGATGATATGAAGGAAGATGATGTGAATGAGCTCTTCAAAGATGATGATGATGATGATGAAGACAGGAGCCCAGAGGAAATGTTGGAAGAGCTCAATGCACAGACACAAGGGAAGCAGATAACAAAAGAAGATGAAGAAAAACCTGAAAAAAAGAAACAGTTAACATTGCAACAGTTATGTGAGCAGTTCCATTTAACTGGTAAAGTTGCAGACTTTTTTCACTGAAGAGGACCCTGACAAATCTAGAAGCAATGCTCTGAAATGGGGTCTAGACCAGCTGAAGATGCCTAACAGTCAGCTGTAGGGCAAAAGGGCCCAGAGATCCATTACAGAATTTATGCACACTCCAGTACAACCATTGACTTCAGTACCAGAACCTCAACTATCCACCTCAGCCCAGTAAGGCCACAGCGTAACTCTCCACTCTCTTCACAATCATCGACATACACCAGCAACTACAATTTAATGTAAGAATTATTATTTCTGTTGCACTTGTAGCCTTAAGCAATTGAAACAGCATAATACATTACAACAGTGAACAAACATTATATAACCATTTTTATTTTTGTAAGATCTGGAGATCAAAAAAAAAAATTGGGGGCATTTATGGGGTTTCCAGGAACTTGAATTTTTTTCCCCAAGTTCTTCAGTTTATCCAACATTACATTTTCAGGAACCCAACTATTGTTTAATATAACAGTCTACTGTATTCCAATCAGAGCATTAGTTTTGGAATCAGCAAGCTTTTCTTATAGTCAGTATTATATACCTATGTTATATTCAAGGATTTGTTCCAGCAAACAGAGAAGAAATGCTTGTCTATCCAATTTTGAGTGGCACTGGCAAAAAGGCAAGAATAAAGAAAAATACTAAAAAGCACACTGTATAGAGAAAAATTACTTTAACATTTTTATAAAGATAAATGCTTACAGTGAAATGATAATGGAAAATTTTTCTTTCAGGCAGATCATCTTTGACAGAAAGGAGGAATTCACGTAGTATGTAGTCATTATTGGAGCTCTCCAAAATGTTGCGAACTGTGATACGTCCATATTCCTTACAAGAGCCTTCTTCAGGCCAATAACGACCACATTTATTCTGAAAAAATAGTTAGCAATTATCACTGGAAAATAGAATACATACATAAAAACAATTTACCTAAAGTCTAATATCACTTTGTCATCTTTCAATCATAATTTATTTTCATAAGAGTGCAGAGTACATCCATTAAACTTTAAAATAAATTATAATATAATCTTACATTCTATATTAATTTAATCACAACACAGAGAATTGAGGCTTTCACACTACTCATTCTTCCACACAGTGCAAAAAGATATTGTGATTTTACTCAATTATTGCCTAACCTAGCTTTCTCATGCACTCTCTCTCTTTCACACATACACGTACACACACACATTTACTCACTCACTCTCTCTTATTAACTAACCAGCCATCTCTGACCAAGGAAGGGTGACCCAAAAAAGAAGAAACACTTTCACCATCACTGTCTTACCAGAGGGGTGCCAATACTACAGTTTAACCCTTAAACTGTCCAAACAGATTTATGTTCACATGCGTAGTGCTCCAAAAGTAGATCTACGTTTTTTTTACATGTTTTCAAATACGTACATAACAAAAAAAAAAAAAGTTGATAAAGTTTTTCTACATGTTTTCAAATTTAAAAAAAAAAATCTACATTTTTTACATACTTTCAAATGTTGAAAAAACGTAGATCTACATTCGGACAGTTTAACCCTTTGAGGGTTTCGGACGTACTAGTACGGCTTACGACCCAGGGTTTTTGACGTACTAGTACGCCTAAATTCTAGCGCCCTCAAATCTAGTGGGAAAAAGCTGGTAGGCCTCCATATGAAAGAATGGGTCTATGTGGTCAGTGTGCATGGTATAAAAAAAATCCTGCAGCACACAGTGCATAATGAGAAAAAAAAAACTTTAACCGTTTTTTTGGAATAAAACAGCGACTTTGCACTGTATTTTCGTATGGTATTTATTGTTGTATTCTAGTTTTCTTGGTTTCATTTTATAGAATGGAAGGCATATCATAGAAACTGAGATGATTTTGACTGGTTTTACAATGAAAAGTACCTTGAAATTGAGCTCAAAGTAGCACAAATGTTCGATTTTTACCAAAGTTCAAAAGTAAACAAATCATGCCAAGCGTCCAATACACATCAACTGGTGAGTCTAATATTCTTTTGCAAGTGCGTCAATACGATTCATACCATTTTTTACACTAATGCAGTAGTCTGTATAACAGTAAATCTTCTATTTTTTGTGAAAATAAAAATTCAAATTGAAAAGCAAAAGAATGTAAGAGGGGCCTTGAGACGTGACTAATGAACAGAGGAAATGTCATTTTAGTGCCAGGAATGTATTTCTTGTTTGTTCTGGACCCTATTCAGAAATTGGCATCTTTTGAAATTTGTGTGAAATTGGCAAAATTGCTAAATTCTGACCACTGTACTGGATAGTTGAAATTGGTAAATGGGTGGTTTCTTGCACTCATTCAATAGAAAAAATGGAGTTCTAGCGAAATATTTATGTTTTTTGTCGACTAGTACAGTGGAACTGGCCGAAATGGGGCTCAAAGTGGGCAAAATCGCCGATCCGTAAACATTGCCGAGACCGCTAACTTCGTGAGAGCATAATTCCGTAAGTTTTTCATCAATTTTCATACTTTTGGTGTCATTATGATCGGGAAAAGATTCTCTATCTTTCCATGAGAATTTTTTTTTTTTCTTTTTTTTAAATTTGGCCGACCCTGAGAACGAGTCTCAGAGAGGGCCTGTCGACCCTCAAAGGGTTAAGGGTTAAAACTGCATATATCCCCACCCCTCCTTCGGAATGCAGGCACTGTACTTTCTGACTCCAGAATTCAAGTCCAGCTAACCTGTTTCCTTGACTCCTTCATAAAGGTTACCTTGCTCACACTCCAACAGCATATCAACTCATAAAATCCACTTACCTCCACTCACTCCTATCAAGCTCGCACATGCCTGCTGGATGTCCAAGCCCCTTGATGCAAAACCTCCTTTACCCCCTCTCTCTAACTTTTCTATGGATGACCCCCTACCCTTCCTTCCCTCCACTACAGATTTATTCTATTTTGTGGCTTATTAAACACATGTTTCTTCCACAAATATCTCCAAAAACCACCCTGCATTCTATAAACTGAAGGTCAGTGACAGGAGCTATAAGTTGGGGTTGTGGGGTGGGCTGTGCTCTCCCAGTTATGGCCGACGCCGAGCCATTGAAACTGAAGCAAGTTTTGTAAGCAGTGTCTTGTAAGCCGCGAAATACGGTATATACCCTCCAAGTCGGCCTATTTTGCTCTATTTCCTCTAAATGTCCTCCCAAGCCCTCTGGATATATAGATACTACTTTAGTAACCTCACACCTTTTCCTAATCTCTAAACTATAAATTCTCTGCATGATACACACACCACACATTGCCTTCAGACACGAAATATCCACTGCCTCCAGTCTCATCCTTGCTGTAACATCTAAAAACCCATGCTTCACATCCACCTTTTTTACCTTATCAATTCTAAGGTTCACCTCATCTTTCATAGATCTGTCTGCCAAGAAGTCCATTCCCAAATATCTGAACACATGCACTTCCTTCATACATTTTTGAATGAAATTCTCCTCCTGTTCTTCAAGACTCTTCCTTGTATGGACTGATGAAGCCACTGTGTGGCAAAACGTTTCCTCAATAAAGATACCCAAGAGTTGCACATGTGTCTAATTTATCATCAAAATTGAAGGCAGTGGAAATGTTATTTATGAAATAAATAACATTATAATCAAACCCTGGAATTTGTGCAATTCAATTATACAGTTTTTTCTAAAGAGCATTTTGTGGAAAACTTTGATTATTCATGAGGTTTATTGCAGTGCCCCCTTTTTTTTCTTTTACTTGGAACAAGGCCCTTAAATTAAAAACTAACCTTAGGCTCTTATTCAAAATGTGTTCATTAGAGTTCCAATGCCAAAATTTATTTTTCTCTATGAATGTTAATATTAAGCACATTTTTTAAGAGCCTGGTGAAAAAAAGCAGAATTTTTCATAAGATTATTAATGTACAGTATATGTAAATTCTGGTGTTTAACTGTATAGAGGTAGAGGCTTTATTAATCAGCAGGATTATGTAAACAGGGTGGTTTGAAGTAAAGGCAAGTGTTTAGTGAGATTTCATGTGCTGATGGGATGTAAATTTTGTAATGTCTATGAATTAATTCAAGAAAACTGGCTAGTAAGATTCAAGTTTCTAGTGTAAAATTCATACATTATATGATTAAACAGGAAATGTTCTAATTCACTGGACAACATTTGAAACACCTTGGATAAGATTGCAACTAGTGTCAGTTAAAGTGACTGCTCATATATATTTCTCTCGTACACTATTTTTCATCCTACAAGACAATTTTTCCCAAAAGTTAAGTTGTAAAAACACTCTGCATCCTATGTGGACTATATTAAAAATATTTCTAAAGACAAAGATGAAAAAATGCACAAAATTACATTTTTAAGCTCCTAGGGAAGCACTAAACCCATAAGATATGGAATAGCTCCAATTTAAAATTCTAACAGCAAAGTCTTTTGTTGCCATTTGCAATTGGCAGAGCTGTTATTATTGAGTACTAAGAGTACAATAGCCAGAGGTATGGGAACTGAATACTGTAGTTGCTGCTTTAAGATTTTAAGTATTACAGTGTGCTGAGGAGCTGTTGTGGGGGCTCAGTTAGCACCAAATTTAATACATATTCTTTGAGATACTGTTTGTCTTTATTTTACGCCAAATGGCATAACCTGTAACTTACAAGATTTAACATGCACATACTGCATGTGAATCATACTTAACTACATACCAGCACACTTTACAACACTAACGCATGCCACAACACCATGCCACACTTCACAACTCTTCACAACATGCTTCCATGCCCTACAACCCTCCACATGCTACCCAACACTATCCTTTACAACTCTCCACAACATTCTTCCATACACTATAACTCTCCACAACATTCTTCCATACACTACAACCCTCCACAACATTCTTCCATACACTACAACCCTCCATGACATTCTTCCATATACTACAACCCTCAATTACAATTTTCACAACATTCTACCACACACTACAATCCTTTGCAACATTCTACCACACACTACAATCCTCCACAACATTCTACCACACTCTACAATCCTCCACAACATTTTAAAACACTCTACAATCCTCCACAACATTTTAAAACATTCTACAATCCTCCACAATATTCTACCACACTCTACAATCCTCCACAACAATCTACTACACTTTGCAATCATCCACCACATTCTACCACACTCTGCAATCCTCCACAACATTCTACCATACTCTGCAATCCTCCACAACATTCTACCACACACTGCAATCCTCCACAACATTCTACCACACTGCAATCCTCCACAACATTCTACCACACTCTACAATCCTCCACAACAATCTACCGCACTCTGCAATCCTCCACAACATTCTACCACACACTGCAATCCTCCACAACATTCTACCACACCTGCAATCCTCCACAACATTCTACCACACACTGCAAACTCCACAACATTCTATCACACACTACAATGAACCACAACATTCTACCACAACTACAATCAACCACAACATTCTACCACACACTACAATCAACCACATCTTTCTACCACACTCTACAATCAATCACAATATTCTACCACACTACAATCAACCACAACAAATTCTACCACACACTGCAATCCTCCACAACAATCTACCACACACTGCAATCCTCCACAACATTCTACCACCTCTGCAACTCCACAAATCTACACAACTCAATGTCCACAACATCTACCACACTCTACAATCACCACAACATTCTACCACACACTCAATCCTCCACAACATTTCTACCACTCTACAATCTCACAAATTTACCACTAATCACCAACATTCTACCACACACTGCAATCCTCCAAAAACATTCTTACCACACACTGCAATCCTCCACAACATTCTACCACTACTCGCAACCTCCACAACATTACCACACTA